ATATACATATACATATGCATACATACGTGTTGCCCAAGGTAGCACAAACCCTCCATACTGCGTCTTGGCCGGGTTCTATTCAGGGCACCGGCCATGGGGTGTCCTATATAATGCGGTTTGGTTTGGCCTGGGATTTTGTTTGATGGGGTTGTGCCGGCTGCAATAGACCAAGTTTGTTCTGCGAAAAAAATCGTTGATGTCTGAGGCTTGGTTTGCATGGAGGTGGCTGTTCTCAAGAACTTGTAAGGTCTTAGTCTTGATCTCCAGTGTTTCAGCGCCTTTCTGATGTCTATTTTTTGGCAGGCTGTTTAAAAGCTTTCGGAGGGTTTTACGAGCCGTCGGCTTTAACATGCATGGGTTTTGTAGGGGTGTGTGTAGGGATTACTATAGCGCACGCAACTATGCCAATCCTACTAACGTTGCAAAGCCGTAGAAAGCATTGCAGCCGACCACGCCCGAACTTAAAATGGTTTCTTGCGTGCCCTGTGATCTATATAAGTGCTGTTGACTAATTCGCGAGCTGGTGGCTTGGCAGAGCCCGAAGCATCAGGATTTCATTGGCCCGTGTTTGCATGCGCGGTGACAGGTGCAATATTGCCGGCTCCGAAATCTGCCACTCCACATCCATGTGCGAACGACTACAGTGTTATCAAGACAAATAGTACGAGCACTCTCCTAGATGTTTAGGGTTTCAGGGCTCGGGTAAGCTATCGCCGTGGAGCACTGAATATCTAGTGCCGATGGAGGCGAGCTTTGAGTTTAGTTCACCGTGCAGTTGCAGGTTCTACCTTTACCGGGTTTGTGCAAGAACTGTCTGCAGCAACAAACGTGCAAGGAGAGCAGAAACCACCGTCAAGAGCAGCTGTGACTGATGACGGTTGATGACAAAAAATGCACCCACATACGAGCCACTTCGTGGTTTCTGATAACAAGTCCGTCGTGCTTGTGCAGTGTGCGACATCCAGGACACAGAGGTTGTCACTTGCAGGATTGTACGGAATTGGTTTCGAAAAACGATTAAATTTGTTGCTATAGCAGCACAAAGCGCCCTAGGTACTGTTATGGGGGGATACTTCCCCCAAATCATACCAGCAAGTCCTAGTATAGAAAACGTACAGTCTATTATATAGGTAATATAGGTACTTTGGATGCTTAGGGCAACAGATTGGCCACCGAAGTTTAGAATCCTCGTAATGCTTTTAAACCCTTGACACCCTTACGCAGTGCCTGCACCATGAGCCCATTCCCTACATCCAAAGCCTACAATCCTTGCATTCAGTATGAACCAACGCCTCGAAACCCAAAACCTTTCACTCTGATGCGTACACCTCCGAAACCTTTGACTACACCTCACTTCGTGTTGTAGCTGCCATGCGTATGAGGTCGGGTGCAGGAGCTACCTTAGCCCCAAGTAGTCCACCTTTTGAAAAATCATCAGAAGGAACCCCAAAAAGGAAGGTTTTGTAGCGTTCAGGTAGGGCTTAGGTTTCAAGATTTAGTATTGAAGTTCCGGAAGGAAAAGACAGACATGCTGGTCTTTCATTTTTGTACCTTTTCTTTATCAGAAAGCTCCGACATCTAGCTACATGAACCAAACCGCAGCACGTCCGCCCCCTACCTCAAAGTCTGTATGGGGCGTGTGGTTGAGATATCCCTGTAAACATTTGAGCACCTTCAGAAAGGGGGGCTCCGTGCGTAGAGGGGGCGGCCTATGTACTTGGAATAGTTGCTGGTTTGTTTGCTGTTAGGGTTTAGGGTTTAGGGGGGTTGGGGTGGATGTTGTACATGTAGTGTAATTACATTAAAGAACCTTACATGGACATATGTTGGTCAGGCCCCCATACCAATTACCCTACAACGCAATGGGTTCTTCGGCTTGACTGACACCCTGAACCCTAAACCAAAGCCCAAAATTCAAAACCCAAAAATTCAAAAACCCTGAACCCTAAAGCCCTAAACCTGGTATGTAAGCCCCAGGCCTTCGACCTAATGTTGCAGACACGTTGCCCTCGCCTTGCCCCGAAATCCTAACGTTCGGGGTTTCGGGTTTAGGAGTTTAGAGTTCTAAACCGTAAATTGCCATAAACCCGAAACCTTACACCCTAAACTTGCGGCTAAACTGGCTGAGTCCTAAACACCACCAGAGGAAACATCGAGGTGGCCTGCAGCTTCCAGCCGACGCCAGAGCCATCCATCCTGAGTCGCCGGAGAACCGGGTTTAGGGTTTAGGGTTTAGGGTTCAGGGTTTAGGGTTTAGCACACGAGGTTCGGGATCTTAATGCTCATCCTTTTCAAGGTGGGAGGGGGGGGGGGAGTAATTTTCAGGGGTTGACTTTATGGCTGTGCTTGCAGAAGTAGAGGAGGGAGAAGCCATAGCAATAGGGTCTGCCGTCCAAATGCTTCAAGCTTGTAGACCCTAAACTCTAAACCCAAAGGAGGTGTTACTGGGAGTCGCAGCCGCTCCCGGCTGAGGCTCTCTGTCTTCGTCGCTGCTTAGGGGTTAGGTTTTAGGTTTTAAGGTTCAAGCGGTCGATCTCATCGGGAGCCGGAGGTCCAAAACTTGTTGCTGCAGAGCGGGAGGGAAGAGCGGCATGCCAGAGGAATCCCTAAACCCTAAACCCTGAATGGACTGTAGCCAGGACTGGCCGCAAAGATGACATCGCCTCGTGTGGCCCGCGACTTTCAGAGGAGTCATATCCAGTGGCCTAGTTCGGGACTGGCGTTACGGTGCAGGGTTGCCGCGTGCGTAAGATTCGTGGCAGAGGCCTGATTGAGGATCCTATACTAAAGGGTACTTTACAGGAACCTTAAGGGATCTACTGTTCGGATCCTTCCGGGGGTCTGTGAAGTCTAGACATGCTACTGCCATAAAGGGACCCTATGGAACCCTTGAAAGAGATACTGAGGGAACCTTTAAAAAAGAAGACTAGACTAAAGGAAACTACAGGTGGGGAGTTTAGGGTATATAGGGTTTCTATAAGGCTTCTGTAAGGTATACAGACCTTCTATAAGGCTCCTATAACGGTAACTACCCACCTGAAAATGTCCTAGCCCCAAGATGACCTCGTAACAAGTGAAAGCTTGGAGACCGGTGTTCCCAGATCTTCTTATATGCCTTGGTTGAGGAATATCGGCCTTTAACATCACATTGGGGATCCTGTTATACACCTTAAGAGTACTAGGGATCCTAATACATACTCTAAGAGTCATATTAGGGATCCTACTATAATTTGAGGCTTGTTCCTTCATGAAGGGATATGTTCGAAGATCGGGGTTCCCTTCTCCAAAGCTTGCGGTGTGGCAGGGAAGGCCTTTGCGGCAGTTGTGGGTTGATTTGTAGGGATGTCGGTGGGCTACAAAAACAGAGGCCCTATAGACCCTAAATCCTAAACCCTGGACCCTAAACCCTAAACCCGAAACCCTAGACCCCTAAACCCCTAAAGCGCTGAAGCCCCAAACCCTAAAAGGCCCCAAACCCGGACCCCTAAACTCCTTATAGGCTGCGCGGTGCAGCGGCTGGAGAATTGATCCTGGCGCCTTTTCCGAATCTATGGGTTGGGCTTAGGGGTTAGGGGGTTCGGGCTTAGGTTGTACCTGGACCCTCGAGAACCTACCTTTTTAGGGTTCCCTATTATGATTTCTTTACATAAGTCCTTAAAAAGGTAGGCTATTTGGAGGTGAAGGTAGGGTTTAGCTTTTAGAGCTTCCGGGCATCACGGTAGATAGAATTAGGGTTAATTTAAGGGTTCCCTGTAACGGGTGCTGTAAGGGTTGTGTAGACGGGTGCTGTAAGGGTTGTGTAGCTTAGAGGCCTGAACAGTTCAATCAGAATCGGGCTTCGGGAAACAGTATTGATATATTTAGGAACCCGAATTAAGAGAAATACTGGTAATTATTCAGACCCCACATATTGCCATGGGGTTCCCAACACAAATATCCCAAACCCTACACCAAAACCCTAAGCCCTGAACCCTTAACCATCCTAGCGTCAGAAGCGTCCGACTCCCCCGCACCACACTCATCCCGCAGAGGGAGATGTCACAGCCGTTGCCTCGGTTGTAGGGTTGAAGGTGTGGGGTCGCTTGGGGCTTAGGGTCTACGGCTTTGGGTTTTTCCTCAGCCCAATGCCACCAAAAGATAATCCTAAGCCCTAAACCCTAAGCACTGAAACTAGAAGCCTGAGCCCTAAACCCTAAACCCTCAACCCTAAACCTTAATCCTAAGCCCTAAACCCTAAGCACTGAAACTAGAAGCCTGAGCTCAAAGCCCCTCATCCCCCAGCCCCCTTTCGCCTCCTCAGTCCCCACTTTTGGGGAGTCCCGCGAATAATCATACTCCCTAGGGTTTAGGGTTTAGGGTTTAGGGTTTAGTCTCCATGTACCTATGCAGTACTTGGTCTATAAGGGCTCCTATATTCTTACGGCTACCTGGAGCCGTAAGCATTCGTAGTTTGCTCTATGCCTATGAGCACTTGAGCATCTCAAGGCAAAGGCTCGAAGCTTGAAGCTCTTTCCTTTCCAGTCAAAGGCTCTTGCAACATGTCTCATGCAGGACTGCCTCCATCAATGGGCACGAGGACACTTTACGCTCCAACTTTCTGGCTTCCATTATATACTGCAGAAGCTTCCAAGCCCAGGCATGACCAAACCAAAAACCCTAAACCGTCGTGGACATATCTTCTTTGATTGAGCGTCATTGTCTTAGACGCTAGTTGTATATGCTTTCGGCAGCTCCTGTGTCCTACACATATATAAACAACCCAGAAAATCCTAAACCCTACAACCTTGCATAATAAACTCTAAAGTCCTAAGCCCTAAACCCTTAACCGACTCTAAAGTCCTCGACCCGAAACTTCAAGCAAACTCTGAGGCCTAAAGCAGTAGACACCCTGAAACCCTAAAGCTCCAAAGCCCTAATCCTAAACCCCCTACGGCCCTAAACCCGAAACCCCAAAGCTCTAAAGCCCTACAACAACCCCAAACTCTTAAGACAAAAAGGGTCTGGGTTGCGCTCTGGGCTGTGGGTCCTAAGTATAAGGCCTTAGCGCTATAAGGTTTGAGGTCACGATGCGGAAGACACCATTCTGGCCTCTCTTCGGGATCTTCGTGGTCTAGCATATAGGGTCTGGGTTGCACTCTGGGCTGTGGGTCCTACGTAAGACCTTTGCGTTATAAGGTTTGAGGTCGGTTAATTCAGAGCTTTCAAGTGCTATTTACTGAAGTGCCAAGGTCTTACCGGAGTTATCCTGGTAAGCAGGGCAAAACAAGCAAGACCTTTTCTGCCATTCGGCGGGGAAGCCCGTGTGGCTCGGACCATCCCACAGAAGTCATGGCTGGGATGACAAGAAGCATGTCCTGCATGAGCCTTTGGCTGGGCAGGTTGAAAATCAAAGGCACTCCCAACAAACCATGGAAGCATTCAAGACTATCGCTAGCTCTGCTGCACATGTTCAGACACAACGCTGATTGCGCGGCGTGTCATGGCACAGCAGGGCGACTGAAAATATTTTCATGCGCATCAAGAACCGCTCAAGAGAGCTTTTGATGGTGTCTTCGGTCTCTAGCGGTTAATTCACGAATGGTCTTACCCTCTTCGCTGCATCAGCACTGCATTGGGACTGGCCACCAGAGCATCACGAGCTTCTGGAAGTCAGGAATGGTCTCGCAATGCCCTCGCAGGAACCCTGGGCTGAAGGTTGCATTCATGTAAGCCATGGCCACTTCGCAACAGATCCCCGCCGCGGAGAGCTGAGCTAGGAATGGCATTTCTCGAAGGCCGTGGAGGGTAAGGGCGGGCATCACAGTCCTCTCCTGCCCCAGCCATTGCCGGAATTTTGAGCGCACGGAGGACCGCCTCTTTCCGAGTGAATGGCACTGGTCCAGAAGTTCGACAGGTTTGCCTGGAACGACGGATACTGAGCCTCGTCGCTCACCCTGTTCGTTCAGCTCGCCCAAGCGCCACAAGTTCTGCGGCTCATCTCTAGGATTCGGTCGGCGTTCCATGCTGACAAGCCTGCAGACGAAACCCTGAACCCTGAAATCCTCGACAGCCTAAAGCCGCTAAACCCGG